ATCACATTTACATAAGTATTCAGACCCTTTACTCAGTACTTTGTTGAAGCACCTTTAGTAGCGATTACAGCCTCAAGTCTGTTTGGGTATGACGTTACAAGCTTGGCACACCTGTATTTGGGGAGTTTCTCCCATTCTTCTCTGAAGATCCTTTCAAGCTCTGTCAGGTTGGATAGGGAGCGTCACTACACAGCTATTTTCAGGTCTCTCCAGAGATGTTCGATCGGGTTCAAGTCCGGGCTCTGGCTGGGCCACTCAAGGACATTCAGAGACTTGTCCCGAAGCCACTCCTGCGTTGTCTTGGCTGTGTGCTTAGGGTCATTGTGCTGTTGGAAGGGGAACCTTCACCCCAATCTGAGGTCCTGAGCGCTCTGTAGCAGGTTTTCATCAAGGATCTCTCTGTACTTTGCTCCGTTCATCTTTCCCTCAATCCTGACTAGTCTCCTAGTCCCTGCCGCTGAAAAACATCCCCACAGCATGATGCTGCCACCACCATGTTTCACCGTAGGGATGGTGCCAGGTTTCCTCCAGATGTGACACTTGGCATTCAGGCCAAAGAGTTCAATATTGGTTTCATCAGACCAGATCATTTTGTTTCTCACGATCTGAGAGTCTTTTAGGTGCCTTTTGGCAAACTCCAAGCGGGCAGTCATCTGCCATTTACTGAGGAGTGGCTTCCGTCTGGCCAATCTACCATAAAGGCCTGATTGGTGGAGTGCTGCAGAGATTGTTGTCCTTCTGGAAATTTCACCCATCTCCACAGAGTAACTCTGGAGCTCTGTCAGAGTGACCATCAGGTTCTTGGTCACCTCCCTGACCACGCCCCTTCTCCCACCGATTGCTCAGTTTGGCCAGGCGTCCAGCTCTAGGAAGAGTCTTGGTGGTTCCAAACTTCTTCCATTTAAGAATGATGGAGGCCACTGTGTTCTTTGGGACCTTCAATGCTGCAGACATTTTTTGCTACCCTTCCCCAGATCTGTGCCTCGACACAATCCAGTCTCGGAGCTCTACGGACAATTCCTTCAACCTCATGGCTTGGTTTTCGCTCTCACATGCGCTGTCAACTGTCAGACCTTATATAGACAGGTGTGTGCCTTTCCAAATCATGTCCAATCAACTGAATTTACCACAGGTGGACTCAAATCAAGTTGTAGAAACATTTCCAGTATGATCCATGGAAACACGATGAACCCAAGCTCAATTTCGAGTCTCAAAGCAAAGGGTCTGAATACTTATGTAAATAAGTTGTTTTTATTTTTAATAGATTTTCAAAAATTTCTAAAAACCTGTTTTCGCTTTGTCATCATGGGGTATTGTGTTTAGATTGATGTGGATTCTTTGTTTTATTAATCCATTTTAGAATAAGGCTGTAACGTAACAAAATGTGGAAAAAGTGAAGGGGTCTGAATATTTTCCGAATGCACTGTAGCGCTCTGTTTGTGGTTGTTGTCATGTCATGTTGTCTGGAAATGTTGAGGATTTAATGTTGTCTAAACTCAGTGCTCTTGAATGCAAGACAAATTCCTGTAGAAACCCAAATAAATTAACTGAATTTATCACCATATATATTTCACCTTTCTCAAATCAGACATAATAATGACTTCTCAATTTTCTGATAAAATTGGTTAACCCTAATATTCAAAGCCAACAAGAATCAATCATATTATTAATCCAGACATAACATTGTTTGAGGGTTTGGAATTACGACACAAGCCGAAGCTGGTTAATTTAATTTATACATATATTTTACACGTGACGACAGTGAAAGCATTTTTTCAAATTCTTAATTCATACATATGTATAAAAAAAAAGAAATAAAAAAAAGATATGTTGTCCAAATTATATTGTCTATAATACTGTAGACAAGGTTTGAACATTAGCTCAGAGGAAATGAAAAAGAATAAAGATACAAAAAAATATGTATATCTGTATAAATATATATTCAAGAGTAACAGAATTGTATTATACATTAAGGAGGATCAAAGACATGAAAACTCCAGAGAGTAAAAATACAAAAAGGTACATAAGTAAAAAAGTTCCATCATGAGTCACTACATTAGATCTCAAATCAGTCAAAAAGATTGTCAGTCATCACTTTCAAAACTCAGATACTGGGAACCCACACATCATCCACAGCACACCTAACACACAAACACTCATACACACTAGAAAACTGACTCGGTGAGCACAGTTTCTTTATAAAGCTATTTTTCACTGAGTAGTCCATCCTGGTGAATGTGGATTGACAATCCCACTTGCGCTGACAACGATGATCAAATGAAGTGAATTTGCTGCCCAATCCTGAACACGAGACACATTATAAAAAACATGTCCATTTCGTCATGCAAGTGAGCAAAAACATTATTGGCACGTTTAAACAATTGTAATTGTTTAAAATATTCCCCTCATATTTTGTCACAAATCTGATCTTTGAGATACATATTGGTGCACTTAGAATGTATGGAAATGGACATATGGCAGAACTTGCAACTTCCTGACCCTTCTGTCAGTAAGACAATCAAATATGGAATACTGTTATACAGTTATTCAGTTGGACATACAAGACTGCGTCGATGGCTGATTGTCAATAAGCATATGGTTTAGAGCAGTGCTCCACTGCAATTCTGTAACACAAGCATAAGATTAATGGTCAAATTAACCTGTGGTCATTAGGATGCATTAGAATGTACCAATAATACATAAGTCTTTGTCATTTCCTATACCTGGTCTTGTAATATAAAGGAAGCTATTTATTCATAGATTTGACACTTTATAACCAATCCTGCCCTGTTTTCCTTTCTCCATCACTCGGTCTGTCTTTCTCCCTCTTCCGCCCTACTCTCATATACACAGGGCCAGCCCAGTTGCAGAGAGCAGGAACGCTGCTGTTATTCTGCACAAACACTGATCATCATCATCATCATCATCATATTGTGGTGGATAGATACGCACCAACATTCATCTAGAAGGCACACAGTTCGTCACTTTCCAAATCAAACACACTGGCAATCAAACCCACACCTTTTTTTTTTTTTTACACAAAAAAGAAATTACATATACATGAAATAATGATAATAATGTAAATAATAATAATCACAATAATAAGCAGCATGGGGTCATGTAACTATACGGAAAATATATAAACCAATATAATATATATTTGTGCATAGCGTGTTTCAGTATTAAAAGATAAAAAGGATAATTGTAAGTATTTAGAAAACGATATATTGTATTTTCTGTATTGCACATAGTCATACTATCACATGTTTCTGCCATAGAGTTTTCACATCTGTCTCCATATGGACTGAGAGACTGTGTGGACACTCAGATGTGTTAACTGTATAATACTGCGTGTGTGTAAGTGGTGCACCAGCTGGTAGGGCTTTGAAATGTCAATGTGGCTAAAAAAGCACTGCTCTTGGCATCAGTAATGTCACAGTATACGACAGTCTTAGAGCAGGTGTACTGTATGTGTCGTGTGACTGCTTACCACGTGTGTATGTAATCACAAGATCCATATCTACAACAAAGCATTGATTACACACTTGCAGTTCACCTTCCTCAGAACTAGCTCAATAAAACTTAATCATAATAATATCAAGAGGAATTGATTGACTCAAATAACAATGTAATCCATGTATCTGGCAGCTGGCACTTCAACCAAAGGAATTTGTTGTTCCTCCTATGAGTATTTACCCATCACAACCATTCCTCTGGGTCTGATACTCGAAACAGAATCCTGAAGACATTTAGGGGTGGGAAGGGAACAACATAGTGGCTCTCCTGTAGCTCAGTTGGTAGAGCATGGCGCTTGCAACGCAAGGGTTGTGGGTTCGTATCCCATGGGGGGCCAGTATGAAAAATGTATGCACTCACTAATTGTAAGTCGCTCTGGATAAGAGCGTCTGCTAAGTGATTAAAATGTCAATTGGATCACTAAAAAAATACTTTTAAAAATGTCTCTAACCACAAGATGGCGGCATCCCACATCACCTATATGGAGAGAAAAAACAGTGTGAAGCTGAATGTAGGAGACACACAGCTAATTAACCATGGGGGAATCTCTAGACTGCCATGTCAGACCCTCTACCTTTGAAAAACATCCAAACAACATTGATAGCAATGCTTAAGATAACCCTGTGGTTTTAGAGGACTTAGGGTGGTTAGCTGCAGAGGACAACCCCATTGCTTCCTCCTAGATTGTGTAGTACAACCACCCTGCAAAGTGTGAATGTGCGCATGTGTATGTGTATTTTGGTAGCTTATTTTGTCACTGCTGTGTGAGAAGTGTTGTGTTTTGATTCTTCCCCTCGATCACCAGTTAATTCAGTCCAGTCCAACCTAAAGTCCAGCTCAGTGTCCGAAGCACACGCTGGTTCTAGTCCCTACGTCTCAGAAAGGAAGAGACAAGCAACCTGTGAAACAATAAGTGTTTGTGTTAACTTCCTGGGGTAAGGTCAACCTGGAAGAAGTGATCTCTGTAATACCCAGGGCAGAAGGAATGGGATAGAGCACTACGACCACGCAAGGTCACGGTCCCAGCGTCAAACTCTTATCTGAACACTTTTGTAAACCTCCACAGCGCATTGGAGCCTTTTAATTACCATAGAATACCTATCTGTTCCTGTTCTGAATAGTATTTTTTCATAACAGTCCTCAGGCATCAGTATCCCATGCCTAGCCCTTGTACAGTTAGTTGTTTCGTTGTCCCAGATCAGGGGTTCTTATTGTAGTCTCTGCTCACGCTGTAGATTCCACACAGTAGTGCCTGAATTGTTGAACAGATGTCAGGCCGTCCTGTTCTCAATATCTCACTCGCTCTCAGTCTCTCAAATCCACATATACAGAGGCACGCACACACACACATGAACACACATTCACACTTCTAAGAAGAACAGTGGTAGATGGGAGGTTGGCAGCCAGGGCCCCAGGTGCTGAGTGCCGATTGGTGGAGAGAGAGAGAGGGGGCATGGTTTAGAAAGCCAACAGTCTGGGCTCTTCTACACATACACAGGCTCACAACCCTCCCCCTGCTCTTCCTCCTCCTCCTCTTCCTCCTCAGGGCCCATGCTGCTGGCTCCGCTGCTGCTGGGAGGCCCCTGACTGTGGCTGGTCTCAGGGGGCTTGGGGTAGCGGAAGGGGCAGCCGTTGTCGTCAAAGAACCTGCGGAAGGTGAACTCGTAGAAGGCGTGCTCCGGGTGTTTCCCGTGTGGGGTGCAGAGGGTCTCCCAGGCCCGGGTGCTGTCCCCGCTGTCACTCCATGCCCCGGGACTCCCTTCCTCCTCCACCGGGTCGAAGTTGGAAGTGTCCATGGGGTGGGCAATCTTGGGCCGGTAGGGGGCGGGCTGGGTGCGCAGGTTGCTGGAGAAATCCATCTGGTCGAAGAAGGGATGAGTTTTGATCTCGCCAGCGCCGTTGCTCCCAAGACGTTCCTCTGGGGAGCAGCAGAGACGGCCGATGATGTCGACAGCCTCGGGGCTGAGCTTGATCTGCGGGGGCACCTGCAGCGTGCTCTCCCAGTTTATCACCTGAAGAGGAAAGGGATGGATACAATATGTTTCAGAGCTGCAATTGATGAGTGATATGGTATTTCCACATTCAGTAGTTTTACTGAGCTGTGAGTCGACTGACTACTAACCTTTATCTGTGTCTCGGTGGGTGTTGGGGCCAGGAAGGGTGGCTGTCCCACCAGCATCTCAAAGAGGATCACACCCACACTCCACCAGTCACAAAGCTGGGTGTACCCTGCAGGGACAAGACCACAACCGCTCACTAACAAGATCACAATAGGCTTCTTTATTTCATATATCAAACATACAACTACTGCACTATGCCCGGTCTTTCCCTCACCTTTGCGTAGCAGCACCTCAGGGGCGATGTAGTTGGGCGTGCCCACCAGGGAGTGTGCCAGGCAGCGCTGATGTTGCCGTGTCGCCCGCTGCTCTAGGGTCTGCAGCCGGTCACCACAACGACAGTTGGACACGTCGTCCCAGAAGTCACTGGGCTCCATGCTGTCCTGCCTGATGTGGCTGCCTGGAGAGAGGAGAAGATGTTACATATCAAGGGGAAGCCGTCTATACAAAAGCATGTACGCAGTGAAAGAACTTGTCCTTTGTCTTGTCCCCTGCTCACCTTTCTGATAGTACTTGGAGTTGTGCGTCCAGCGGAAGCCGGTGCAGAGGCCAAAGTCGGTCAACTTGATGTGTCCGTCCAGGTCGATGAGGATGTTGTCCGGCTTGATGTCACGGTGGATGAAGCCCATCTTGTGGACACTCTCGATGGCCAGGGTCAGCTCAGCCACGTAGAAGCATGCCAGTGGTTCGGGGAAGACGCCCATGCGGATCAGCAGGCTCATCATGTCTCCTCCGGGGATGTAGTCCATGACGAAGTAGAGGCTGTCACGGTCCTGGAACGAGTAGTACAGACGCACTACCCACTCGTTGTCTGCCTCTGCCAGGATGTCACGCTCAGCCTTAGGGTTAGAATTAATAAGAAAAAACTTTATTGTACATTCCATACCAAATGTTGGAATGTGCCTTTGGCATCACAATAACATGGAAACATCACCAGAAGCATCTCATCATCATCACTTGGTTTAAGCTTTACCTTGACGTGGGCCACCTGGTTGCGGTTGAGCACGTCCTTCTTGCGCAGCGTCTTCATGGCGTACAGGGCTCCCGTGTCCACCTTGCGGGTCAGGCACACCTCACCGAAGGCCCCGATGCCCAGCGTCTTGATCTTGATAAACATGGCCTTGTCCATCTTGGCACGGCGCAGCCGGTTATAGTTGGACTCCTTCTGGTTAAGCATCTTCCTCATCTGCTCCTGCTCCGCCTCTGATAGGCCAGCCTGGAGAAAGGGGGAAGGGCAAGAAAGAAAAAGGGGATAGGTTGCTTTAGTAACATACTGTATACATGCCTTATTACAATTATATTATATATTTCTTGAAGTGTTTGATGTTTCGAATGTCTCAATCAACTGTGAATATAAGATACAAAAGTAAGTAATGTATTACTTCACTAGTAAACACTTTTTTTGTTTGTATGATTTCATAACATTCTGTCAAAAGGACTGAACCCCGGGTAACTGTTTTTCTAAATGTTTTGGACAAGCTGTTACAAATAGAGCCATGAACTCATTGACTCCCATTCTAGGTATTTAGGGTATTCTAGGGGTTGTCTACAACACAGGTCCTCATAACCTTTAGGTCTCTCTCTGTCTCACCTTGGACATCTCCTGCTCTAGCTGCAGCCTGCGGTTCAGTTTCTGCTGGTGAGTCTTCATCACATTCTCCACATGCTGCTCCATGTAGAACTTGAAGGCGAAGGGCGAGTAGCTTTTAATGCGCGACTCCCTCTTCTCCTGATCACGCCCGTTCTTCCTCACCGGCACCGGCGATGTCTGGATCTGCTTCTTGTTTTTCACTGTCTTCTCTCCTTTCCCAGACTTGGTCTTCTCTTTCACCTGGCTCTCCTTTCCTCCTCCTCCTCCTCCACTACCACCATGTGGTCTAGCAGGGGTGTTGAGGTCTGGGGCTCCACACATAGCTCCTCCTGGTCCCTCCAGGGGCCCTGCCTCTGAAGCAGCCCCAGACATGAGCAGGGTTTTGGGGTAGGGAGGTGGTGGACAGCGGGGCTCCTGGGCAGGCTCCAGAGCGTAGGCCTCTTCAGGCATGTAGGCAAGGGGCTCAGATGCTTCCTGAGCAGCCTGGGCAGCCAACCAGCCAGGGTGACATGGCCCCACAGCAGTCTTCGGCTCGGGCCTCATCACCCGGATGCTCTTCACCGGCTGCTGGATGGGGGGCGAAGTCACCGCCGTGATGGTGTTGGGTGGTCCCAGGGACGGGTCCTGCTTGCCAGGAGCGACCAGGGAGGGCCGGATGTTGTTCGGGGGCGCTGAACGGTTGTTGAAGGAGTTGGTCCTGCTGGGGACCCGCACCTCTCCCCGGAAGGGCCCCTGAGGCTGGGGCTGCCTAGCTGGAGGGGCCCCCTCAGAACCCTGGGGACCGGCCCAGTGGTGCTGGTGCTGCTCGTACAGGTCCAGGTTAAGGCTGGCTCTAGAGGGTGTGAGCAGGCCCTGAGGGAGGTCAGAGAAGTCTGGCCCCATGGCGGCGGCAACCCCACCGGGTGAGCGGGACATCATGTGGACCTGGTGTGAGGTGGGGCTGGACTGCTGGGGGTGGGGAGGCAGGTACATGTTAGGGGGGTACCCTCCCCCGTTCTGTCCCATGGCCCCTTTCCCCTGTATGTTGACGTAGTTGTCAGGTGCCAGCGGCGGCATCTTGTTCTGGAAGGAGGCACTCCTCTGCACGCCGTAGCCTGAGGGCTCCATCATGTGAGGCCGGACATGGCCATAGTCGTAGTGGGGTCCGGGGACGGGGCCTCCTGGTGCCTGGGGCTGGCCGGGGACGCTGTAGCCCATCATGGCCTGCTCCATGCTGCCTGGGTAGGCCTTCTGCGGGGTGCCTGGGGTGTACATGGGGTTCCCTGGATTGGTTGGAGGGTAGGCGGCCATGGCTGGAGCGTAGGCTCCCATGCTGGGAGGGCGTCCCATGGGGGCACCCATGTAGGGGGCACCCATGTAGGCGCCCTCTGGTCCATAACCAGCACCATCATACATCGGTGCCCCCATCTGGTGGTAGGGAGGCATGGCGCCCTCACTTGTTCCCTCTAATGGTGGTCTGTGGTCCATTGAGTTTGGCATACCCCCTTTGCCTGTGGACAGAAATCATAGTGGTAAGTGAGTTCATATACTTATTGAATTTCAAACTTTCTGTGCATATATTTAGAATATAGAGTGCATTCGGAAAGTATTCAGACCCCTTCACTTTTTCCACATTGTTATGTTACAGCCTTATTCTAAAATTGATTAAATAAAACATTTTCCTCATCAATCTACACACAATACCCCATAATGACGAAGCAAAAACAGGTTTCTAGACATTTTTGCAAATGTATTAGAAATAGAAAACAGAAATCCTTTATTTACATAAGTATTCAGACCCTTTGTATGAGACTCGAAATTGAGCTCAGGTGCATCCTGTTTCCATTGATCATCCTTGAGATGTTTCTACAACTTGATTTGAGTCCACCTGTGGTAAATTCAATTGATTGGACATGATTTGGAAAGGCACACACCTGTCTACATAAGGTCCCACAGTTGACAGTGCAGGTGAGAGAAAAAACCAAGCCATGAGGTCGAAGGAATTGTCCGTAGAGCTCAGAGACAGGATCGTGTCGAGGCACAGATCTGGGGAAGGGTAACAAAACATTTGCAGCATTGAAAGTCCCCAAGAACACAGTGGCCTCCATCATTCTTAAATGGAAGAAGTTTGGAACCACCAAGAGCTGGCCGCCCGGCCAAAACTGAGCAATCAGGGAGGTGACCAAGAACCCGATGGTCACTCTGACAGAGCTCGAGAGTTCCTCTGTGGAGATGGAAGAACCTTCCAGAAGGACAACCATCTCTTCAGCACTACCAATCAGGCCTTTATGGTAGAGTGGCCAGACGGAAGCCTGCTTGGAGCTTGCCAAAAGGCACCTAAAGGACTCTCAGATCATGAGAAACAAGATTCTCTGGTCTGATGAAACCAAGATTGAACTCTTTGGCCTGAATGCCAAGTGTCACGTGTGGAGGAAACCTGGCAACATCCCTACGGTGAAGCATGGTGGTCGCAGCATCATCATGCTGTGGGGATGTTTTTCAGCGGCAGGGACTGGGAGACTAGTCAGGATTGAGGGAAAGATGAACGGAGCAAAGTACAGAGAGATCCTTGATGAAAACCTGCTCCAGAGCGCTTAGGACCTCAGGCTGGGGCGAAGGTTCACCTTCCAACAGGACAGCGACCCTAAGCACATAGCAAAGACAACGCAGGAGTGGCTTTGGGACAAGTCTCTGAATGTCCTTGAGTGGCCCAGCCAGAGCCCGGACTTGAACCCGATCGAACATCTCTGGAGAGACCTGAAAATAGCTGTGCAGCGACGCTCCCCATCCAACCTGACAGAGCTTAAGAGGATCTGCAGAGAAGAATGGAAGAAACTCCCCAAATACAGGTGTGCTAAGCTTGTAGCGTCATACCCAAGAAGACTTGAGGCTGTAATCACTGCCAAAGGTGCTTCAACAAAGTACTGAATACTTAAGTAAATGTGATATTTCAGTTTTTCTTTTTTAATACATTTGCTAACATTTCTAAAAACCTGTTTTTGCTTTGTCACCAATTTAATCCATTTTAGAATCAGGCTGTAACGTAACAAAATGTGGAAAAAGTCAAGGGGTCTGAATACTTTCCGAATGCACTGTATGTGCATGATTGTGTTACCTGGTGAGGTCTGTTTGATGACCCGGACGATGAGTTCATTGCGGGGGTCCAGGTATCCCATCTTACTGATGTACTCCAGAGCAGCCTCAATGTTTCTGCTGCCCGTCTGCTTCAGAGCCCGCACCGCCATTTCCTGGTGGCAAAACAACGGTGTTTAATAGACATTGATATATTATTGAGAGACTGTGACTGATGATGCTCATCCATCTCATGTTGTGGAACAGATTGCATTATTTCAGTACCAGATAGTGTATAGCCTCTTCTATAGTCACGCAAGCACACATTAGGACATTATGATTTAAACAGCCCCCCAGCAGGCCTTGCACCTGCATCCTCTTCTCCTGGGGTCATGCACCAGCCATTTCCTGAGCCAGCCTCACACACAACAACACAGAACATAGAACCTGCCCTTTTACATTCTTTCAACATTCCAATAGCAGGCTATTTTTATGGCAAGTACCTCTATGGTGACAGTTCAGCACCATACTGTAGTACATATTTTAGTATTTATATAAAGATCATGCAGGTTATCCTACTATTTTCACACTGGCTGATAGGCAGAGTACAAACAACAACAGCCATTAAACATCAGTGAGTGAGACGTGAAAACAAACACGAGACAACCTGCGACCGTTCTTTAACTAGGCGACCCACAACTACATGAGGAAATACCCCTTAATGGCATATGACCTCACGCTAAAAGACATTCAACCCAAACCTCAGTTTGGCCCTCAGTCAACACAGGCATTCAGCCCCACACCGCCTCCGATGGTCAGTTAGAGAACTCCAACCAAATACTACTGCTCATCTGAAATAGCCACTGGAGGTTGTTATTTAAAACATAGAATCAAGATTAATCTTGATGATGTTGTGTAAGAATATAACATTTTACAGGAAATAAACTAGGGCTAGGGTTGTGGCAGTCATGAAATTATGTTAGCCGGTTATTGTCATGCAAAAGACTGCCGGTCTCAGGGTAATTGACCGGTAATTAACATAAACACGTTTAGCATCTCAAGGCCATCCATACATACAAGCCGCTGATGCACGCCTTTGGAATTTCTGCATTTAAAAAAAAAAGACTAATAAATCAATTGAATATACACCATCACAATAAATCAATTTAATTTTTGGCAGATCTAAAGAAACATTATATGAAGAAAGGACTAATTATTTGTTGGCCTACTGTATGTTATCTGGCTATGTGCCATGCCATAGGCTGTAGGCTTGTTCATTTAGCAGACAAGATATGCTTATAAGTCATGTGCCATTATTTTACATTATCTGATTTTGTAGTAAGAAGAATATAATTGAACTTAGCGGAATAAAATAGAAAGGATATTTTTCCCATTCCGGCGCGAGAGTGCACATATGAAGTGGCTATGTTGAGCATAAAAGTAAATCATTTAAAAACAGGTCCTATACTCTAGATTTAGAATTATTTGGCAACTTTAGTTGTGAATGATACAAACCTTAAAATGTCTTAGAAATCAAAAGATATGTGCTGCATGATGCAACTATAGGATAGTTGCATCATGCAGGGTCATCGTCCGGGTCATCAAACAGACCTCACCAGGTAACACAACTCATGCACATACAGTGCATCGGAAAATATTCAGACCCCTTGACTTTTTCCACACTTTGTTACGTTATTCTAAAATGGATTAAATTGGTGACAAAGCAAAAACAGGTTAAGAAATGTTAGCAAATGTATTAAAAATAAAAAACAGAAATATCACATTTACATAAGTATTCAGACCCTTTACTCAGTACTTTGTTGAAGCACCTTTGGCAGCGATTACAGCCTTGTGTCTTCTTGGGTATGACGCTACAAGCTTGGCACACCTGTATTTGGGGAGTTTCTCCCATTCTTCTCTGCAGATCCTCTCAAGCTCTGTCAGGTTGGATGGCGAGCGTCGCTGCACAGCTACTTTCAGGTCTCTCCAGAGATGTTAGATCGGGTTCAAGTCCGGGCTCTGGCTGGGCCACTCAAGGGCATTCAGAGACTTGTCCAGAAGCCACTCCTGCGTTGTCTTGGCTGTGTGCTTAGGGTCGTTGTCCTGTTGGAAGGTGTACGTTCGCCCCAGTCTGAGGTCCTGAGCGCTCTGGAGCAGGTTTTCATCAAGGATCTCTCTGTACTTTGCAGCGTTCATCTTTCCCCTGATCCTGACTAGTCTCCCAGTCCCTGCCGCTGAAAAACATCCCCACAGCGTGATGCTGCCACCACCATGCTTCACTATAGGGAGGGTGCCAGGTTTCCTCCAGACGTGACACTTGGCATTCAGGCAAAAGAGTTCAATCTTGGTTTCATCAGACCAGAGAATCTTGTTTCTCTTTAGGTGCCTTTTGGCAAACTCCAAGCGGGTTGTGCCTTTTACTGAGGAGTGGCTTCCGTCTGGCCACTCTACCATAAAGGCCTGATTGGTGGAATGCTACAGAGATGGTTGTCCTTCTGGAAGGTTCTCCCATCTCCACAGAGGAACTTTAGAGCTCTGTCAGAGTGACCATCGGGTTCTTGGTCACCTCCCTGACCAAGGCCCTTCTCCCCCGATTGCTCAGTTTGGCCGAGCGGCCAGCTCTAGGAAGAGTCTTGGTGGTTCCAAACTTCTTCCATTTAAGAATGATGGAGGCCACTGTGTTCTTGGGGACCTTCAATGCTGCAGAAATGTTTTGGTACCCTTCCCCAGATCTGTGCCTCGACACAATCCTGTCTCTGAGCTCTAAGGACAATTCCTTCAACCTCATGGCTTGGTTTTCGCTCTCACATGCGCTGTCAACTGTCGGACCTTATATAGACAGGTGTGTGCCTTTCCAAACCATGTCCAATCAACTGAATTTACCACAGGTGGACTCAAATTAAGTTGTAGAAACAAAGGATGATCAATGGAAACAGGATGCACATGAGCTCAATTTCGAGTCTCATAGCAAAATGTCTGAATATTTATGTAAATAAGGTATTTCCGTTTTTTATTTTTAATGAATTTGCTAAAATTTTGTTTTGTCATTATATAGTATTGTGTGTAGATTGATGAGGAAAAAAATAGATTTAATCAATTTTAGAATAAGGCTGTAACGTAACGAAATGTCTAGGGGTCTGAATAATTTCCGAATGCACTGTATAGCACTTTGAATATGCATTAGTTCTAATATGCATATGGGTGTTTTGAATTAATCATTACCTTACAACGCGCTGTCTATTTCGTTGTATTAGGCATTGAAACAACAACCATGTTTCCACTCACTTCTTTCTTCAAATTGATTCATCACAGTGGTGAGTTTTAAAAGCACATACTGTTTCGTGTTTGATTAGTGTTTCGATTGCATTGGCATTGATGTCAGAGTGGTTAGAGGGACAATGGAGCCCTGTGTACAGGCGATCAGCGACCAGCGACTCATGACTGCCGGTAATACGGTCACCGCAACAACCCTAACTAGGGCTAAATACATTTTAAGGACTGAAGTGGACTTTAAACTAGTTTAAAGAGACTAATGCAACCATTGCGTGTCCACAGGTTCTGAGACAGACTGGATGCATCCATTTGCAGGGAGGAAACGTATTGGTTTAAAAACAGGGCTGCATAGCGACTGTAAGCACATTCAGCTCTCAGAACCAGGAAACACCGGAGCCACAGATATTCTACACAATGTGTGTGTGTGTGTGTGTGTGTGTGGGTCCATCTGAGAGTGGGCCTGCCCATACGTTTGAACCAAAATACACTCTTTCCCTCACGCATAACACACACACACAGGAAACCGAATATAAACACTCACTTCCACAGGCCAGGAAGTAAAGTATTTTTGGGTGTCTTTTCCTCTCATTTCTCTCTCTTCCTCTGTCTCTGTCTCTCTGGCATACACTCTCCTTCTCTCTCTGTCTACTAGACTCATGTGGCTTCCAGCCTAAAATAACCTCTACCACATTTGCACCCTTGTCATAATGGTTACAGCCACAAGCCAAGGAGTTATCCCAAACGCATAATCACACAAACACTGATAGCACACACACACACACAAACATACACACACACACTCTCACTCTCCTTAGGAGGCTGGGAGTTAGTAAATATAATCATACACACCCAACTCTCACTCAAGTGAACTACAAAATACACACTCCTGGATGTAATGACAGTTTCTGCGCCACTGTTCTAAGTTCTGAGAGGAAGGCTGTTTGTTTTATATTAGCTTTCACTTTGACCTAATTCTGCAAGACATTCCACTATGGGACCCTGGAAATGAAAGCCATATGGAAGACCTTTATGGAGCTGAGTCTGGATGGACAGGCGGAGAGAGGGGGACATCAATAGGTCTGTGGAACAACAGATCGTGCAATTAATAGAAGGGGAAGATAGCGGAGCACTCACGCACACACACAAGGCTTCTGTCACATCCTGTTAACCTAATCATTACATAAAGGCGGTGATCACATCATTTCATATGTCAGAGGTTTAAATATGCTAAGTGTGCATAAGATTCCTGTCTCCACTCCGCCCGGCCGGACCCTCGTACAGTAATAGTGGAGCGAAGGTGGAGGAAAGGAAAAGAGCTCCTCCACACTCCACCCTCCGTCCCTCCCAGCCGCCCCTCCTCGCTCCTCCACCAAAACATTTCCTCTTTTACAGTGATTATGTAACTTGCCGCAGCGCTGTGTAATTTGTGGCTGGAGGAGGAGAGGAGAGGCTGCTGATAAGACTAAGGCCACAGGGCTTTTGGGGATGGAGGGGAGTTGAGACTAGAGGGGCCACTCACTACGGCGGCCATTACGGCTGTGGAATGTGTAGGAAAATAAGGGCCCAGGCCCACACTCAATGGTCCGTTCAGTGGCCCCTCGGTCACAGTCGCCTAAAAATACCAGGACCATCTATCATACGACACGCCTGGCGGCTGGTCCAGGAAACCTAAAGCACTTATGTAAAGGGCTGAGGACTGATTAAGTTGCTAAATTGTCATAATGTTGTTGTTAAAGTCTTACAGGAAGCATACCTCGGTCCGGCTAGGTTAACTTAAGGAGGCAGCCCTAGGACAGACACAGTGACTGCCGCATCGCTCATTGAGACACCATTACTTATAACCCATCATTGTGATGGTAAAAGCCAGACGACAGAGATCAAAGTCAGTAGGCAGGAAAAGAGTTGTATCTATCTGGCTTGTGTCTTCCTTCTCTCCCTCTCGCCCCACTATCTCTACTGTGTTGAGGTCTGAGGGGTTTGTCAGTAGTGTTGTGCAAAGACTTGAGTTAAGCATTCTTTAAATGCCGAGTGCCGCCATCACAGGGCCTGTCCTCAGGCCTGTCCTGAAGCCTTCAACCACAGTGGCACGGTACTGAGTCTGATTATAGTAACTGGTCTCTGGTCAGTCCAAGAGCTTTGAACACACTGAGACCTTTAAAATGACCTGATCTTAGGCCAGTTATGGGTGTTTAAAAAGAGACTGAACTCTGCTGAACAGTCTGATCCATATTATTCAGAAATACTCTGATAAAACGTATCCCTGTAATAAAGCTTTCCATATCAAATACAGTAAAGGGTTTATTTCTTTAGGCGAAAGGTGAGCATGTGTGAGCTGACAATGTTTTCGCAGGAAACATTCTCTCTCTTCTTCTTCCATCGCCTCTCCCCATCTCGCTCTGGGGTGGAGAAGATGTTCACTCTTGTTCCGAAAGAGGATGAAGAAACCGACTGATATTTTAACATTTCTGCATTCCACATTATGTAACCATTGTACTGTACTCTTGGCAGAGAAAGGTTGTATTGTATTTCTGGATATTATGACATTGAATGGCGCTTTCTACATCCACATTAATGAGTTATGTTAGGCACTTACAGTACATGATTATAGAACCAGCATTTAAGTTGAGACATTGATACAGATGAGAGCAGTTTCTCCCACTTGAAACCACACACACACACACTCTCCAGTCCTCACCTGGTCACAGCCAGCGTTGACCAACTCCTGCAGCATCTGTCGGTTGACGTCTCCAGCAGGGTGGGCGGAGCCAGAGGAGGGGCCAGACTCATTGGCAAAGGGCATGAGGGACTTGCGGATCTCTCTCAGAGCGTTCTGGTAGTTGTTGAACTTCTGAGGGGGCCGGAGCTGCTGCTGGCGACTGCCGGGGTCTTTGCCCTTGCTTTCGGTCCCGCGGCCCACCTCACCCCGGGAGCTGCCCCCATGGAGGGCCTGGCTCACCAGCTTGGCTGGCTGCTTCAGCCCCTCCTTGATCTCCTGGAGGCGCTGGCGCGTGTTGCCCACGTACGGAGCAGCGGGGAACGTCTTAGGCCTCATGACACTCCGCTGTTTTAGTATCTAGCCTAAGGAACTCACACCCAAACAGACACCCACAACTGACACACACACTCGTAAACTTGCTCTGGAACTCTGTGACCTAAATAGATTAGGCCCTCCTGTAGGAGAGATCTGTAGAGAGATTGAGATTCCTCCTCTATTTCTCTTGGTCTAGGTTTTTTTTGTCTCTGTGTGGCTGGCTCCTACTGATAGGATTCCAACTGGCTCTCCATGTTGTGTGTTTTAGGGGTCACATTCCTCCTTATTCCAAGTCATGTGAGCGGTCACAAGGATGCCCTTGGCCCAAACCACTCGGGCTCCTTTCTGCACCTATGGAGCAAGACCAGAGCAGAAAACATTACTAAAATGTCACTGTAAGGGTATGGTCAAGATGTGTGTGTGTGTGGTTGGGTTGAGGTCATGGTGGTGTAGAGTCACATTAGTTATACACGTCTCATCAACTGTGTGTGAAATAATCCTGTGTGATCCAATATTAACACCCCTTTACAGTTTTATCTCCAAGAACATTGTCTACATTCTATTGTGGCAGTGCTACTCTCCGGTGCAGAATATAGGAGGTGTGAAGGAAGCATATCTCTCTATGCACACGTGGAATAGTCACATGGCAACAACAATGTTTTATCGCGGAGTAATCGTGTAACATAGCTTGTGTGGTGTAAAACACTATCATTGATGTATGATCGTGTATAACATATTTATTAATGTATTTGACCTGTGTAACTTAGACATGTTCAATTATGACAATGATTAAAATATTGGTGGTTAACTTGATTTCAACTCAGTGGCTATAGAACAGGGCTGAGAGACCACCAGACCAGTACTTGGTAGATAGGCTTGAGAAAACAGCTTGAGATCAACAGCATCCACTGGGTCCATTTAAATCAGGATACTACCATCAATACCACCCTCTGTCACCATCTCTTTCTCTCCCTCTCTGTGTGCTATGTCCCATCATGGGTTGAAAAAGGCATTTTTGGGGTTTGGGTGTTTGAGGCCTTTTCTGACACAAACACAGCACTCACTGTGAGTGTTGAGAGTTTTTCTAAACAAACACATATTTGAGATGGTAGTGCCAAGCTCCACCGCAATCTCCAGAATATTTAGCCTCAGCTCCCATTCTTGTAATGCTTTGCGCGCCACATCTGACCCATAGCATTCCATTCCACAAGTGACGACAAGAAAACTCATACCATTGCATCATGGGGGAGAGTCGACCAAAATAAACGACAGAAAAATAGATTTCCACTGAAGAACAACAGACAGAGGAGAGTAGAGACAGGGTCTCCTACTTACAAGGCTCCTAAATGTTTTAAACCCACTAGTAGGACCAGTGGGCTGGCCTGCAGTTGACATTGTACTGATGTGTATAGTGTACAGATGAATCATTGATCGCTCATGAACTGCACTTTTCTACCTGTATTTATTGTCTGTATACAGTGGGGGAAAAAAGTATTTAGTCAGCCACCAATTGTGCAAGTTCTCCCACTTAAAAAGATGAGAGAGGCCTGTAATTTTCATCATAGGTACACGTCAACTATGACAGACAAAATGAGATTTATTTTTCCAGAAAAACACATTGTAGGATTTTTAATGAATTTATTTACAAATTATGGTGGAAAATAAGTATTTGGTCAATAACAAAAGTTTCTCAATACTTTGTTATATACCCTTTGTTGGCAATGACACAGGTCAAACGTTTTCTGTAAGTCTTCACAAGGTTTTCTCACACTGTTGCTGGTATTTTGGCCCATTCCTCCATGCAGATCTCCTCTAGAGCAGTGATGTTTTGGGGCTGTCGCTGGGCAACACAGACTTTCAACTCCCTCCAAAGATTTTCTATGGGGTTGAGATCTGGAGACTGGCTAGGCCACTCCAGGACCTTCAAATGCTTCTTACGAAGCCAGTCCTTCGTTGCCCGGGCGGTGTGTTTGCGATCATTGTCATGCTGAAAGACCCAGCCACGTTTCATCTTCAATGCCCTTGCTGATGGAAGGAGGTTTTCACTCAAAATCTCATGATACATGGCCCCATTCATTCTTTCCTTTACACGTCCTGGTCCCTTTGCTGAAAAACAGCCCCAAAACATGATGTTTCCACCCCCATGCTTCACAGTAGGTATGGTTTTCTTTGGATGCAACTCAGCATTCTTTGTCCTCCAAACACGACGAGTGTTATTTTGGTTTCATCTGACCATATGACATTCTCCCAATCCTCTTCTGGATCATCCAAATGCACTCTAGCAAACTTCAGACGGGCCTGGACATGTACTGGCTTAAGCAGGGGGACAGGTCTGGCACTGCAGGATTTGAGTCCCTGGCGGCGTAGTGTGTTACTGATGGTAGGCTTTGTTACTTTGGTCCCAGCTCTCTGCAGGTCATTCACTAGGTCCCCCCGTGTGGTTCTGGGATTTTTGCTCACCGTTCTTGTGATCATTTTGACCCCACGGGGTGAGATCTTGTGTGGAGCCCCAGATCGAGGGAGATTATCAGTGGTTTTGTATGTCTTCCATTTCCTAATAATTGCTCCCACAGTTGATTTCTTCAAACCAAGCTGCTTACCTATTGCAGATTCAGTCTTCCCAGCCTGGTGCAGGTCTACAATTTTGTTTCTGGTGTCCTTTGACAGCTCTTTGGTCTTGGCCATTGTGGAGTTTGGAGTGTGACTGTTTGAGGTTGTGGACAGGTGTCTTTTATACTGATAACAAGTTCAAACAGGTGCCATTAATACAGGTAACGAGTGGAGGACAGAGGAGCCTCTTAAAGAAGAAGTTACAGGTCTGTGAGAGCCAGAAATCTTGCTTGTTTGTAGGTGACCAAATACTTATTTTCCACCATAATTTGCAAATAAATTCATAAAAAATCCTACAATGTGATTTTATGGATATTTTTTTCTCAATTTGTCTGTCATAGTTGACGTGTACCTATGATGAAAATTACAGGCCTCTCTCATCTTTTTAAGTGGGAGAACATGCACAATTGGTGGCTGACTAAATCCTTTTTTCCCCACTGTATGTCCTTTTCTATGCTTGATTGTGTGTTTTTATGTATACACAGAGCCGCAACCAAATTTTTCCCACAGGATAATAAAGTCATTATCTTATCTAACAAAATGCCTATCTGACTGATTGGAGAATACTGTACTGTTAATCACACAGGATCTATGGTGCCTATTGGCCTGTCTTTTCTAATGAGGGCCTCAGTCTGCAATGCCTGAGAAGGCCGCACGATATGGGCAAAATATAGTTTTTTCAAATATTGAGATTTGACTTGCAATATATATCAAGAAATATAATTATTTTTATTAAGAAGCAAAGTGCAAAGCAGCATCATTTTTGTTTGGAACAATCTGTTGACCGCATTTGACCCAACCGAACATCATGCAAACTTATAGTGAATCTAACAGTGAGGAGGAACTGAGCCCCACCATTTTAGCAATAAATAAAATTTTATTTGCTTGTTTTGCATGTTATTTTGGCATTAATTTGTGTCACATATCAGTTTGAAAACAACGGAGAAAAAAAGTGTTTCCTTGAGTTAATAAAGCCGCATACAAACATAGCTCAGTGCTTTCTGTGGTGGAGGGGCAGCCAGCGAAAAGACACAGTATAGGCATTGGTAATCTTCTCCAGTTCCGCCGTGACTGGCTCAGTGTTGTGTCCCTCATGGGGACACTACGTCACCACCGAATCTACAGGGAGAGCTAGGCAGTTCAAGCCCCCTTGGGTGCTGTCATAGATTTACATTAGAAGTGCCTGTCCAAGAAGGCTCAAGGTCATTGGCCACAGATAAAATGACTTCAAATCACGTTATATCTACGGTAGCTTTGATTGGACTGATCATGTCAACATCATACTTTCACAATCTTAGCTAGCAAGCAGTCATCCTCATGAATCACGACAACAATCTACTGGCAAATCCATTTCAATCCTTGTCATATGAAGAGAAATTATAGATAAAACGTATCGGTGCTCATTGGCCATAAACATTACTCAACAAGTCTGAAATCGCAAATTCAACAATGAGTGGTTTGGAAGGAATCAATGGCTAACCGCAAGTGTCACGAAGCAATCACTATTTTGCTTCCCCTGCCTGCTATTCGGTGGAGAGGGTGTGTGGTCCAAGTCTGGGTTTATGGATTTAAAACATCTGTCTGAAAGGGTGTCTTTCCCAAGCTTAAAATAATAAACATTCACACACAACACCGTGGGCCAGAAAAGGTTGAATACATTGGCAATGCTGTCAATTCAGCATTACTTGAGTGTGTTCAAGACAACTGGGAACTCGGAACTCCAAGTCGGGAATGGCCTCTTTCTAGAGCTCCGACCTGAAGATGTGGTCCTCTGTAGCTCAATTGGTAGCTCAATTGGTAGAGCACGGCGCTTGTAACGCCAGGGTAGTGGGTTCGTATGCACACATCACTGTAAATCGCTTTGGAAAAAAACGTCTGCTAAATGGCATATTATATTATTATTATTATATTATAAGATCACTGACATCATGATTCAACCTTGTTTTTTTCTGAGTTACCAGTTGTCTTGAAAGCACCATACATCCAGAGTTTGCCCACAAGAAGGGCCGCCGCCCCACGTTCAAGTGAACACAGCACAACAACGGTGAGTCCAAAAATATGTCTTGTATACTGCTGCATAAATGTAATATGCCAGGGAGATACTTTTGGACATGTAGTGTATGTGGACACCTGCTTGTTGAACATCTCATTCCTAAATCAAGGGCATTAATATGGAGTTGGTCCCCTGTTTGCTGCTATAACAGCCTCCACTCTTCTGGGAAGACTTTCCACTAGATGATGTTGGAACATTGCTGCGGGGACTTGCTTCCATTCAGCCACAAGAGCATTAGTGAGGTCGGGCACTGAAGTTGGGCATTTAGGCCTGGCTCCCAGTCTGTGTTCCAATTCATCCCAAAGATGTTCGATGGGGTTGAGGTCAGGGCTCTGTGGAGGCCAGTCAAGTTCTTCCA